GTTCAGCTGGATATAAATTACCAATTTTTTGAAATGCTTTTCAAATAACTGCTAAACATTCGTAAAATCGATAGTTTCCAAACAATTGCTTGACTGATTTTGGGATAATACAATTTTTCAGCTGAACACAATGAGTTATCCAGAAAGATGGATATAAAATCAATATTTTAAAGTTAAGATTACAATGACCATAAATAGGATAAAAGATTATAAATAGATCAAACAGTTAAGATTACAGAAAATGGGATATAAAACCCATAAACTTAATTGTTCAGATGAGACACGAATCAGTTTAGATACAAGAAATATATAATTCATTTAGAAACGACACTTGCAACAGTTAATTGCACCTGTATTCTATGAGATTGTTTACTTCATTTGAAATGCATTTCACGAATTCATTAGAATATTTTAAAAATAAGAACTGAAACTCGCTCTAAAATCAATGACACATTAATGATACATTTGACCAAGTTGATAACTGATAATAATAATAATAGTTATTATTATTATAACAACAATAATAAAAACAATAACAATTATGAAAATGATTAAAAAATAACTAACAGTTCATAGAAGCAACGTTCACCGGTTGTTGACTGACTATTTGAGGTGGCACGGAAATAGTCGGTATACCAACTGAGGGCTGCATTGACATTGGGTAGTGCTGACCCGGTCTTATTGGCTTTGCTGTAATCAAGTGCGATTTCATTTGACGATCGTTTCGAATAGTCACAATGAATTAATTGTTTACGCAACAATTACACAATTGAAAAACAAAATCAGTCCTTTCTTTGAATTCCACTTTTTATCTTCAATTTTCATGCGACTTTCTTCGGAAGCAATCAAATTTATTTCATCTAGCAGACTTCTTGGTAACCTAATGATCATAACTGACATTGCATATTTGCATGATATGAGAATAAAACAATCCAGGAACAACATACCGATTTGAGGCGCGGCCAAACCCCTTCTGGCCAAATTTCGTTGTCGTACAGCCTCTTTGATACGCAGCACTTCATTTTGATACCTGAATTTATATTCGCTATTATACAAACCCATAACATGATTGATATTCAGCGAATTTGCGATCTTGAATGCACTCTAATGCGAGCCACAACTCATCGCTAGCTTTCAACCACAAATATGCAGTTTGAAGGGAATAAAATAAAAAATTCCGGCTCAATGCCGTGCTCAATTGTTCAAAAACACTTAAATGAACGCCATTCACCGTCAATGAAAGCATCAAAACCGAAACAATCAACCAACNAAAAAAAAACAAACCGTTTCCTATCTTTCATTGCATTCTCTTTAGCTTCTTTCAGAGCTGTCTCAAGACTCTTCACTCGATCCATTGTTGCTCGCAGACGTTTCTCCATTTTCGGTAATTCACATCGTAAATCTGCGTTATCTCTCACCAACTAAAAATTTTACAAAACATAACTAAAACTGAATTCTCCATCAAGAAAAAACGATAAGCAATGTGTTCGTCGGGGAACAATTTCTTTTGCACCGCAAAAGTTCCACTAGAAGAGAGCAATAATAAAACTGAATATGACTGAATGCATCAAACGGATATTTCTTCCATTTTGATACCTTTAATTTTCATTTTTCGTTTTCTCATTTTGATACCTTTTCAGAATGTACCTACAGGTTGGAGTTGAAAAAAAAATGGAATTGCTCGTTTCATATGCAATCACCAACCTGTTTATGAACTTTCGTCAACTGATCGAGATTATTTTCTAAGAAAATAATTTTTTGTTTTTGTGCCGGTGACGAGAGATACTCATCGTCGTTCGGCTCGGTACCAGTTGGCGTTCGTTTGATACGTTGGCCGATATCTTGCACGAACATCCTTCTGAGATTATGCAACGTTTGCAGTTCCTTTGCGACAGTCTCTTCCAAACCTGAATTCACAACATGATCGCTTTTGCTAATGACACTTAACGAAAATGAGTTCACTCAAACAACTACAACGCAAAAAATATCGCAATTAAATCAATCAACTCTTGCATTGAACAGCTGACTATACGATGAGCTGGACTGCCTGACTATACGATGAGCTGGACTGCCTGACTATACGATGAGTTCAAAATCGCAACGCCATGAGTCACTGAACCTGCGTTATATTCCTTCGTAGATCGCAATAAATTTGTGATGGCGAAATCAGAGTAATTCATTGAATCTCCAACAAAAAGACATGATGCTAACCATCTCAGGCTCGATCAGAGATGATCA